ATTACGTAAAAGAAGGTGCGGTACCAAAACTGAAGTGAAATTTTCAGCATCGAGAAAATTTTTGAACGGTTGAAGATAAATATATGATCAATCGACGAAAAATGTGCCTAAATGAGTGAGGAAGTTTTTGGTGAAAATAAATTTGCACTAGTGGTAACGGTTTCCGAGATACGATTTTTTTTGTGAAACGCCGATGCGCGCCGGCTGCTGCCGTTTCAACGGATACCTACTCGATCCGACCTATACTTCAATAAACTCGGTTAAAAGAAATTAGGAGGAGGCCATTCGATCACGACCTGTAGAAAATGGAAGAACTATTCAACTATTTATTCCATTTTAATAATTGTTTCGTTAAAATTCGCAATGGATATGGACAGAATATAACCGCCTTCTCAAGAATATCGTCATAACTATAGACTAAATCACGATAGAAAGTGAAGTTGACAGTTCGCGTTGACATTTTTAGTAAACTTTTTCTTTAGGTTGTCAGCATGCATTAGCACTTCGATTCGGTCAGCTGGGATAAACGACAGGGTCGTATTTAGAAAAGTGATATACATTTCAGAATAAAAATTTATTTTCAATTTCTTTAAAGGAAGTTAGGTTATTAAAATCCAAAAATCCTAAAATTAGAGTCCAAAGTAAACACTTATAATAAGTGTAAACACTTAAATCCAAACTAAAACCAGGTTTGAAACGCAACACCAAAACACAAAGGGACAGAACACTACATAAAAAACCAAAAAACTGATTGCGATAATAACAAATAAAAAAATAATGCAGAAAACGGCAAAAAACTGAAAGATTTCACAGAAAAATTCAAAATTCAAAATTCAAAGACCCGAATCTGATATTTTTATGTGTCAAATCAAAATGTCATGTATCATTATTTGATAGTGTTCAAAAAAAGGGACAGATCTAGGGATTTTATTTATTTTCAACTGGTGAAAATAACGGTCAAAATTCAAACTCTATCGTGAATACGACTATACCACTGGAATGGCAGAAAATACCTACATTACTTCACTATCTTCAATTTCAATTTATCAACAACAAATTTTAAGTAAAATCTGGATTTTTATTAAAGATAAAAGTCAACATTAGGTACATAATGTTAGCAATACAATGTAACACAAATTTTTGACTTAAGTTTTGTTCAAAAAAAAAACAAACTTTACAAATTATATGCCTCAGCAAATACTTCTAAAATACTTCCTGAACTACACTTTTCCCATCACAATAAGGCTTGCACTAGAATATTTGCCATTATCCAATAATCCAATACTTGTCAAACCTACAGTACCATCAAATAATAATAGAGTCGGCCGATCGGCCGATACCGACATATTTGTTCTGTCTCCATTACAAAGGTTATCCATTCAGGAATTATGCACCTGTGCACCACATCATAAAAGAATTATCTACGGATAAATCTTGCGCAAATGGATTTGAGTAACGATATAGAATTGAACGCACTTCTAGATTAGTCCACTACAATAATTTAATGAGTTTCGAAAACGCAGCTACTTATATATTTTTTTAAAATTTTGTATGGTAGGCCATCAGTTACTGGCGTTTCATATAAACAATATGTCATGCGCACATCTATTTCATACATGTAAATCTGATATAAGGAATTTGCCACCCACAGAGGATGCATTTCATCAGCAAAATCAGCATGTGAGTACCTACTATTAAGGAAGAACTGCCGAACTGCCTATGAAATAATTGTGTGGGAAAGTGCGATTTTAATAAATCCAGAAATTCCCAACCCAGTTAATTTTGGTCGAGGGGCAAACCACTCCCTGCAATACATGTACATTTTATTAAAATTTCTTCGAAATCACAAGGAAATATTGCATTCTCCGTTAGACAGTCGCCAAAATAGCCCAAAATCCCGCATTCACAGAAATCACGTTCGCAGTCGCAGAAATCATGTTCGCAGTCGCAAAAATCGTGTTCGCAGTCGCGGAAATCTTGTGAATGAGGTCATAGGGGCGTGTCTAAATTTCTCGTCGCAGCCTCCGAAATAGCTCGAAATCAATGTGGCAATCGCGCAATCGCAAGTATTTTTTTCGCAATCCCTTCCGCAGTCCTGCGATAATTATTTTGCAGTCTCGCAATCTTGGAAATTATTGCGATTATTTCAGCAATCTTGGAAATCATTTCGATTTTCATGGCAATCTTCGAAATCCCTTAAATTCTCATGGCAGCCCTGGAAATCGCAATGATTGCCAAGAAATCATAGGATTTCCGCAATACGTGTACATTTTTAAGAGGAGTGGTTTGCCCTACTCCCCGCAACACATGTAAATTTTATTTAAATTTCTCCGAAATCACAAGGAAATCCTGCAGTCTTCGTTAGACAGTCGCCAAAATAGTCCGAAATCCCGCATTCTTCTTCGCATTCGCAGAAATCACGTTCGCAGTCGCGGAAATCATGTTCGCAGTCGCGGAATTCTTGTGAATGCGGTCATAGGGGCGTGTCTAAATTTCTTGTCTCAGCCTCCGAAATAGCTCGAAATCAATGTGGCAATCGCGCAATCGCAAGTATTTTTTTCGCAATCCCTTCCGCAGTCCTGCAATAATCATTTTGCAGTCCCGCAATCTTGGAAATCATTGGGATTTTCATGGCAATCTTCGAAATCTCTTAAATTCTGATGGCAGCCCCGGAAATCGCAATGATTGTCAAGAAATCATAGGATTTCCGCAATACATGTCCATTTTTTAGAGGAGTGGTTTGCCCCTCGATTTTGGTTGGGATCTGAAACAGAATAATTTTCTCATTTTAAAATTAACCACAATGTACCGATGTAAGATTCGAAAAAGGTGCTGCAAATGCAAACTCCAGATAAGATATGCACTAGAAACTAAACTGTAGTTGTTTAAAAGCAGGGCTGGATGGTATAAAAGGTTGCTATCCGCGCTGGGGCCAGGGTGCGGGCAAAGGCGTCCGTTGAGATCAATGCGGCAGCGGCGGCGCGCATCGTCGTTCCAAAAAAAAAATCATATCTCGGAAACCGTTATCACTAGTCAAAATCTCTTTTCACCAAAAACTTCCTCACTCATTTAGGCACATTTTTCGTCGATTGATCATATATCTATCTTCAACCGTTCAAAAATTTTCTCAATGCTGAAATTTTCACTTCAGTTTTGTGACCGCACCTCCTTTTAAGTAATCTGACAAATTCAGTATAAAAAAAAATAGTTTTTTGCATATACAGGTGAACTCTACAATGACTAGGCTTTCATCTGGTGCAAGAATTTTGGAAAAATATTGAAAAATAGCGTCACAATCGTGAGTTAAACACAAAAAATAGTATTTTTCGGATAATTAAAAAACTACGAGCGTGCGCAAAGTAGTACTTTTCCGCACGCATTTCGGTTCTCAAAGTTACACTTTTCCGCACTCAGTGCGGATACAGGCCTTATCCGCACTGAGTGCCGAAAAGTAAAAATAATTGTCAAGCAACAATAAGGGCACCTGTCGACGTTGACAAATGATGACAAATTTTTCCTCTGTTTCTATATCAGCCAACATCTATACAAACACCAAATTTAATTAACTTTGACACATTGTCAGATTTGTTCTCTATTGATATGCAAGAATCTACAAACTTTCTCATCAAATTTAAACGTTTTAAAAAAAGGGCTCTGACGATGATTTTCTGTTATTTTTTTTTTTGTTATGTAATTTTTTGATAACTGCATAGGTTCGCTTCAAGTTAATTAAAAATAGTTGAACAAATAATTTTTTTTTCTAAATTTTTGTTGTTACCTACCTGATATGAAGCTCGTAGGAAAAATTTAGTTCCTAACACGTGCGCAAAGTGTCTTTTCCGCACGCAAACACTTATCCAAACTCCGCTTCGCGTCGTTCGTATAACTGTGTTTGCGTGCGGAAAAGTAACACTTTGCGCACTTGTTAGGAAAATAACTATTTTCTACTTGCGTGCGCAAAGTAATCACTTTGCGCAAAGTTGAACTTTGCGCACGGAAACTCTTTGCGCGCTCATTTTTGTTATGCATAATTACCATAGTTATACTTGATTTTTCAATGTTTTTGATGGTTTCTGAATAAACTAATATTCAAAATGAAGGCTTTTAGTTGAAATTAGCGCTTAGCTAACATGATGTTTCCTATCAAAGGTGTCCAAATTGGACCAGCCTGTACTGCTAGGAATTTGTAGAATTTTTGATATTTGAGAGACTCTCATGAAAATATTCTAGCCGGTATTCTTGAAATTCCAGAAGATGTTAAAAGATTTTTGGGGATTTAATTTAAAAGACATTTTGAGGAATTCCAATAGATTTAAAACGATTTTTGAAGATTTTGATTTGATTGATTTTTCTAATATTTTAACAATTCAAAGTCTACTTTTTTAAGATACTTGTAGAAAAAATATTGTTCCTAACACTTGCGCCAAGTTTCTTTCCCGCACTCAAAGCTTATCCGAACTCCGCTTCGCGTCGTTCGTCTAACTGCTTTTTCGTGCGGTAAAGTATCACTTTGCGCACTTGTTAGGAAAATAACTATTTTATTGCAATTACGAATTAAATGGAGGCCTCCGGATTTGTATCCGGAAGGTCATTCTCCATATTGTACATATTTTTTTAAATGTATATCCTCGAGTGCACAGTACGTGATCGAATTTCGGTGTGCTGATTCCCAACTACTATTGGTATAAGAATCGCTGAAAATGTCATTTTGCAAACTTGTTGAAAAAATCTCAAGTAGAGAATTTAATTGGCTTTCATTAAAGCCTAATTACATTGAAATCAGATAAAAACTAAATAAGCCAGAAGGCAAAAACTGCCTTAGTGTCAACAACAACAACAACAACAATTTAAAGTTACTATTAATTGCCAATTTCCAAAAGTTAGTGAAAGAGCCCATCTAACATCATTGAGCAACACCATTTAAAAAAAATATATATCGTGACGCATTTTCGTCACGACGTTGAAATATTACTCCAACAACACTAAATATTCTCTTCCAGATATCGACCAGCTAATCACAATATCCGGTATGGTAATCAGAACGTCAAACATAATGCCGGAAATGCGCGAAGCCTTCTTCAAATGTATCGTCTGTCAATTCGCAACTTCGGCCGAAATCGATCGCGGTCGCATAACCGAACCGACTCTGTGTTCTAGCTGTAATACCAACCATTGCTTTACTTTGGTCCACAACCGCTCTCAATTCACCGACAAACAAATGGTCAAGTTACAAGAATCCCCTGACGATATGCCGGCAGGGCAAACGCCTCACACTGTAGTGCTTTTTGCCCATAATGATTTGGTTGATGCAGTACAGCCTGGCGATCGTGTAACCATTACAGGCATTTACAGAGCTCAGTCTTTACAACTGAATCCGATGCAGAGGAATTTGAAGGCAGTTTACAAAACACATATTGATGTTTTGCATTTTAGAAAAGTAGATTCTAAAAGGTTGTACGAAGAAGAAGATGGCAAGGATCATCGTTTTCCGCCCGAGAGAATTGAGCTTTTGAATATTTTATCTCAAAAGCCTGATATCTATGATCGATTAGCTAGAGCAATTGCACCTTCAATCTATGAAAATGAGGATGTTAAAAAGGGTATTTTGTTGCAACTTTTTGGTGGTACTAAAAAAACCCACACTACTGCTGGTAGGACAAATTTCAGATACGACATTAATATCTTGCTTTGTGGGGATCCTGGTACTTCAAAGTCGCAACTACTTCAGTATGTTTATAATTTGCTGCCGCGTAGTCAATATACTTCGGGAAAAGGTTCGTCTGCTGTTGGTTTGACTGCTTATGTTACTAAAGATCCTGAAACGCGCCAGTTGGTACTGCAGACTGGTGCTTTAGTACTGGCTGATAATGGTATATGTTGTATTGATGAGTTTGATAAAATGAATGATTCAACTAGAAGCGTTTTACATGAAGTAAGTTTTAGAATTCTTGAAGAATAATGATTAATTAATTTTTTTGGTTTTCAGGTCATGGAACAGCAAACTTTAAGCATTGCAAAAGCGGGCATTATTTGTCAGCTAAACGCTAAAACTTCAATTTTAGCAGCCGCCAATCCGTGTGAATCTCAATGGAACAAAAACAAAACCATTATTGAAAACGTCCAATTACCGCACACCTTGCTTTCCAGATTCGATTTGATATTTTTAATGCTGGATCCGCAAAATGAACTTTTCGATCGCAGATTGGCCAGCCATCTTGTTTCTTTGTATTACAAGAGCAGAACGGAAGAAGATGATGAAGTTTTAAATATGTCGATAATAAGGGATTATATTTCTTATGCAAAAGAGCACATTAATCCAACATTAAGCGAAGAGGCTTCACAAAGATTAATTCAAGCTTATGTGGACATGCGCAAGGTTGGTTCTGGTAGAGGACAAATTTCTGCTTATCCCAGGCAATTGGAATCTTTGATTCGTTTATCTGAAGCTCATGCTAAAGTCCGGTTTAGTAAAACTGTGGAAATTGATGATGTTGAAGAAGCATGGAGGTAAGTTTAGTATTTGAAAAAGGAAACATTTTAATAATGGTGGTGAAATTTTAGATTACATAGAGAAGCCCTAAAACAATCAGCAACTGATCCTTTGTCTGGCAAAATAGATGTAGGAATTCTCACTACAGGTTTGAGCAGTTCTGCACGTAAAAAGCGGGCAGAATTGGCTAAAGTTTTGAAAAAACTTATCGACGATAAAGGAAAAGTACCTTCAATCAACTACCAAAAGCTTTTGGAGGAGCTTAAAGCCTCATCTCAAGTGGCAAGTATTAAATTATTGATTCATAGAATTTTTTTTTTAAATTTTGCTATTTGTTGCAGATGATTACAAGGGAACAGTATGAGGATGCCCTAAAAGACCTTCAGGATGACGGGCATATTGTGGTTAAGGGAAAAACTTCCATACATGTTTGCACCAATAGGGATTAAGATTTTTATGTTAGTTTTTAAAGCACATTAATATGTATTTAAGTTTAATTTGAAATTAATTCATAAGTATTATATTTTTTATTTTATAATAATTACAAGTTTTAACATTAATTTGAGCCAGTCAATTTTATTTCTTAGCTGTTGTTTAGATTGAATTTCATTTATTTCTGGTATTACATAATTATTTACTGATAAACATTTTCTTCATCATATCGTTAACCTTGACATTAGCTTTTTTCAAATTCAAATTGACAATGGCCAAATGCTCAGCGCAAGCCTTATTGTGAGGTTCAAGCTCCATGGCTTTACTCAAGGCTTCGAAAGCCTTTTCGAAATTTTTATCATTTTCATAAGCAACCCCTAGCTTGTACAAGGCCTTAACATTATTACAATCACTCGCTAATACTTTCAGGCAAAGTGGAATGACTAGACTGTAAACTTTTTCTCTGAAATAACACGAAGAAAGATTATTATATAATTTTGCTTTGAGCAATTTGATTTCTTCAGTGCTAACATTGTCGATAAATTCAGGAGTAACTTGGACATTTATAGGTATTGAACATAATAGTTTCAAAGCCTTATTAAATCTATGACCAGCTTCGAGTTGATTTTTTTCAGCAAAAAACATTGCACCCTTTTCTTTGTGCATTAAGGCCATTTCAAATTTTTGCTTAGCACTCCACTGAAAAATGAAACCCCTAAATTCAAGCTCAACTAATTCAATAACTGCAAAAACTTCCTCCAAACCTACTGTAATCCTAAATTCAGCTTTTTCCTTTAAATTCATCGTACAAACGCAAATATCTAACAACCTACCCAACTCCCCATCATTATCACCCAAAGTTACATACACATTATTAAATAATAATAACTCATTTGGACAATCTAAAATATTTAACTTAACAATACTATACTCGAAAGGTTTCAAACCCCATTCGCCCAATGAAATAAGCCTTTTGAAAACTTTATCATCAGGCGAAATCCACTCTTCTTGCATCTCTAACATTCCGACTCTGTGGCGTCCCACTTTAACAACCCCAAAGTCACCTCGTAGTATTCTTTGGCAATTTTATCACTGGAGGCTATTGGACTGGCCAAGCTCAACTTACAATCGCTGTAATATTGACCAGTGGACCGATTGGAAGTTAACAGAGCGTGCAGCAAAGTTTGGCAACCTTGTTTAGGAGATTTAACAACAATTAATCTCAAAGGTTTTTGCAAGGCAAACAGCCACGGGCTGGATAATGCAGGAAAGTGCCTATAAATTGGCGTTTCGACGTTGCCAGGATTTACTGCGTTTATAATGACGTTTGTATCTGTAATAAACTTATATTAGAATTGATTTTGTTATATGAAAGAAATTCTTACATAAGAGTTTTTTGGCTAATTCTTTTGTGAATAGGATTAAGGCTAGTTTTGAAACGCCATAAGCGATGAAGTGAGATCTGAATTCCTTTTGGCAAGTCGTAATCGCTTTTAGATCGTAAACGTTGACCATACGGTGGGCTTCTGAGGCGACGTTAATTACGCGGGCGTGGACTTGCTTGTCCAGATGAGGGATCAGAAGATGGGTCAGTACAAATGGACCTAAAATTTAAATACGTGATTTAAGCATGGAATCTTAAGCAATTTTAAGTATATTTTTCAAAAACTAGTAAATAATATAAGTGAATTTATGGCAAGTTGACTATCATTAATTTCCCATGGTGTTGTTTTTTTGTTTGGAAAAATTTGAAGTTTTAGTGTAATGAGTGAGATAATAATTTTCCTCTTTTGATAGTAGAAGTTTCATAATTTTCCCTCCAGTAGTTTCCCAGAAAAATATTAAAATGTTAGAGATTGCATTTTTGCTTATTTTAGATTTTACAAGTTAACTTTCATTAATTTCCCATGGTGTTGTTTTTCACTGAAAAAATTTGAAATTTTCGTATAATGAGCTCCTTATTTTCCTCTTTTCACCCTGAAAGTTTCATAATTTTCCCTTCAGTAGTTTTCCAGAAAAATATTAAAATTTAAGTGATGCATTTTTGCTTAATTTTGATTTTTTAAGTTGATTTTCATTAATTTCTCATGATGCTTTTCAATGGAAAAAATTGAAATTTTAGTATAATCAGCACTGTTTTCCTCTTACTATCCTTGAAGTTTCATAAATTTTCCTTCAGTGGTTTTTCAGAAAAATATGAAAATGTAAGAGATTGCATTTTTGCTCAATTTAGATTTTGCAAGTTGATTTTCATTATTTTCCTATGGTGTTGTTTTCTACTGGAAAAATATGGAATTTTTGTATAATGAGCTCCTAACTTTCCTGTTTTTATCCTAAAAGTTTCATAACTATCCCTTCGCTAGTTTTCCAAAAATATATGAGAATGTTAGACATTTCATTTTTGCTTAATTTAGATTTTGCAAGTTGATTTCCATTAATTTCCGAAGGTGTTATTTTTCGCCGGAAATATTTAAAATTCTAGTATAATGAGCTTCTAATTTTCTTTTTTTTATCCTAAAAGTTTCATAATTTTCCCTTACGTAGTTTTTCAGAAAAACATTGAAATGAAGAGATTGCATTTTTGCTTAATTTAGATTTTTTAAGTTGATTTTCATTAATTTCTCATGATGTTGTTTTTCGATGGAAAAAATTGAAATTTTAGTATAATTAGCTCCCAGTTTTCCTCTTACTATCCTTGAAGTTTCATAAATTTCCTTTCAGTAGTTTTTCAGAAAAATATGAAAATGTAAGAGATTATTGCATTTTTGTGAGCATTTTTGCTTAATTTAGATTTTGCAAGTCGATTTTCATTATTCTCTCATGATGTTGTTTTCCATTGGAAAAATCTAGAATTTTTGTATAATGAGCTCCTAACTTACTTCCTTTTATCCTGAAAGTTTCATAACTTTCGCTTCAGTAGTTTTCCAGAAATATATGAAAATGCTAGACATTGCATTTTTGCTCAATTTAGATTTTATTTATTTATTTATTTATCAACGGGCCGAGCCTACTTACAAAATGTTAAACATTCAATTCAACAATATAGAATTACATAACAAATGTAACAAAAATAAAGTTAATCACTCTTAATAGTTATTTATACACCAAGTGAGTTAAATGAATGGTTATTCATGAGAAGAAAGTTTAACCCACGAGCCCTAGCGAGTGGGTTAATTTTCTTCGAATATCCCATTTTTTGGAAATTTAAAAAATAAAGTACGAGGAAAAATGCCGAGAGTGAGTTAAAAATATTTCAAATCACTGAGGTTTCAGATTTTTAGTTGGGCAGAGTGACTTAAAATGCCGAGAGTGAGTTAAAATGTTTTTAAATCACTGAGGTGATAAACGTCTACTTACCTTTATTGTTATGCGTTGAATAATGTCATTTTTAAACGTCAAAATGGGATAAAATTATATAATAATAATAATAACAACAAACAGCCCTGCAACTTGATGAGAAATGAGTAAGGCTAGATAGGTAGATTGGACTAGTAGATTTAGGTAAAAATCAAATAATAATGAGTAGGTACAGTAAAGTTATAAGAGGTGGGATTAGCAGTTTATGATAAAAGTTTGCTAACAACTACCTAAAAGTATGACGAACTTGACTTAGGAAAATGCTCAAGGGGGCAAAAAGGTCAATCTCATGGTGCTCATTTGCAAGTCTAGCTGTCCGTAATTAGTTGGATGAATCGGAATATGAAAACTGTCATTCGACCTGTGGTGGTTCTAGGAGGGACATGAATGCTAATTTTGTGAAGAATTTCGGGAGTCGAAGCTTTCCCATGTAGGATATTATAGCAGGTTGTAAGATCTCTCCTCTTGTGACGCATAGTTATCGAGGCCATATTCAACATAGAAAGTAGTTGTGAATCATTATAATTATTCAAAATATTCAGTTTAAAGGCAATTTGTTTCAAAAATGTATGTTCAATTTTGCAAGTTGATTTCCATTAATTTCCCATGGTGTTGTTTTTCACTGGAAAAAATTGAAATTGTAGTATAATGAGGTCTTAATTTTCCTTTTTTTATCCTAAAAGTTTCATAATTTTCCCTTACGTAATTTTCCAGAAAAACATTAAAATGCAGGAGATTGCATTTTTGCTTAATTTAGATTTTGCAAGTTGGTTTTCATCAATTTTTCATGAGGTTGTTTTTTACTGGAAAAATTTAAAATTCCAGTAAAATGAGCTCCTAATTTTCCTCCTTTCACTCTGAAAGTTTCGTAATTTTCCCCATCAATAGTTTTCTAGAAAAATATGAAAATGTAAGAGATTGCAATTTTGGTTCATTTGGAATTTGCAAGTTGATTTTATTTCAGCGTATTTCCCTCATAAATCACACACGTAGTACTTGAACCTGATATTCGTGAACGCAATTTTGTATAATGAACTCTTTAATTTTCCTCTTTTCACCTTAAAAGTTTCATAATTTTCCCTGCAGTAATTTTCCAGAAAAATAATAAAATGTCAAGAGATTGCATTTTTGCTCAATTTAGATCGTACAAGTGGATCTTCTTGAATTTCCTATTGTGTTGTTTTTCAATGGAAAAATTCGAAATTTTAGTAAAATGAGCCTCTAATTTTCCTCTTTTTATCCTGAAAGTTTCAAAATTTTCTCTTCAGTAGTGTTCCGGAAATCTTAATATGTGAAAGATTGTAAGTGCTTCAAATGTATAGTCGACAATAAGAAACAAAAAGTTCGAGCTCTGAAGATGGATTAAATGAATCCAAAACGTCTACAAAGAAATAATTAGTTTCTTTCAACTCTGATCAATATACCCACAATCCTTAACTCAAGTTAATAAATAGAAAATAAATTTAAATTATGCAATAATTTAAGATTACAGAAAAATTTGGTAATATGTACGTTGTGAAATAAGTTTCATTTTTAGTACACTTAGCGAATATTTTTGTCCTTGGCTAACTATTAATAAAGGACAAGGATACAACATAGCTTGACATAATCTGATCATTTTCCCAATAATAGAGTACAAACACCAGAGATGTTATGAGTTTCTATTTGATGAATTCCCATGAGTTAGACACAAGGGCGTAGATATGGGGGTAGAGGGGGTAATTACCCCCCCCCAGGATCTCTATTTTTTTAGGTAATTTTAAAAAATATATTTTTTTTAGATGAAAAATATTGGGGCTTCTGGGTTAAGTAAAATATTATTATCAAATAAAAATTCTTTGTTCTTGTTGTTTGTTCTTTGCAAGTTGTACAGGTAGCTGCTATAATGAGTATACATTTATTTTTAGATGACTGTATTATCTAGTACTGTATTCTGTTGGTAAAAACCGTGCCCCAGTTCTACACTAACACTTAATCAGTTTAAGTTTAGTACATTCCCAGAAGAACGTGAATCTGGCCATTGATACCATTTTGTCGATTTTTTTTTTTTTTCGATCTGCGTCCGGCTTACGTACTTGTTCAGAGCTCACTCTGCGTATGACGTCACGATATCCATGCTCATACCGTTCCGCTCCGTGGAGCGCAAAGCCGAACGAACTCAGCTATTGCTTAGTACTCATAACCGCGAAATTCGCTTTTTTTGACATTGCCTCGACAATTTGACGTTTTATGCGTGAATCAAACGTCAAATTGTCGAAGCAATGTCAAAAAAGAGCAAATTTCGCGGTTATGAGTACAAGGCTTATGGTGCATTTACATTCACTTCGAAGTCCAATTTGTCTTGAAATTGACGTGCTTATCATATGACGATAGCACACATATCCATTTACATTGAAGTAAATATATGAAGTTAACTTCGAAGTGCACTTTAATTTAAATTTGGGCGAGCTGCTTGCCCAGGCCAAGTAGAAATTTGTGAAATGTCAAATTTTTAGATTCTCTTAAAATTTTGACATTTGACTTGACGTTTTTTCTAATTTTCCAATATCGAATAAAGTGAATTTTGTTCTGCAATGTAAATGATAAAATATCAAACGTCAAATGTAAATGCTTCTTTAAGGTTGGTAGACTTTTAGTGATGTGTCATCTGTCAATTGTCAAAAAATAACATAAAACTAAAGCCGTATTTTAGCGGATAAGACGCACTAATGGCCGTTTCCACCAACTATTTTAGGGGAGCCTTAACGATAAGTATTCCCTAAACTGACAGTTTTCCATGGAGAAATGTCAGTTTAGGGAATACTTATCGTTAAGGCTTCCCTAAAATAGTTGGTGGAAACGGCCATTAGCAACTAATAGAACTGTCATTTTCGCGGACAAGACATGACATCAGTCTCAGCTTAAAGATTTTTTGAGCGCTCTCTAAAGCTCGCTACAAAAATCTTGAGCGAGAATGGGGAGGGATTGACACTGACAAAATGTCTACAGACATGTCTTAAGAAGTCTGGCTCACAAAAATATGGCTTAAATTTAAAAAAAGAATGTACCCTAATAATAATAGTTCTAAGGTAAAGTTCTGAAAAAGAAATGAGCTTGAAATTTCCCTCCGGACCTCCCCCTAACTTTACCACCCCCCAGAAATTTAAAGTATCTACGCCCTTGGCTAGACAAAGATAGACACATCGATTCACAGGGACATGAAATAAAAATGAATTAAAAGATGTATACAAGATCTGGGTTCGGCTTGCACACTCCGTGCACTCTGAGTGACTCCGTTCGCACTCCAGCCGTTCGGGTATTGCCTTTTAACGAATCAGACAACGGCTGGAGTGCGAACGGAGTCACTCGGAGTCAGAGCTGAGCTAAGTACTCAGCAAATGTACTTAAAGTATTAAGTATTGAATATTTTAAATATACTTACAGTATTAAGTACAATATTTTCCTAATGTACTTAAAGTATTAAGTATTTTACTTAAAGTAAAAAAAAAAAGTATAAGTATCAGTACCTATTACTTTCAGTATACAGTATTTAGAGTATCTTTTATATGCATTTAAGTACTCATAAATACTTTAAGTACTTAGAGTATTTATATGTACTTTCTTAAGTACTTATAAATCTATCCTTATTAATAAAATGAAATAATTATGCTATTATGTGTTTTACTACTTTTAACGCACATTTGTTTTTCAGTGAACAGACCTATAGTTTACTGGATAATAATTATCAATAGTTATACAGGGTGTCCCACGAGGTTTTGCCCAAATGATAACTTCGGAACGCATCATCATATGTTCCACTGTAAAGTTTTTATCATTTTCTTTAAAAAAACCTTAACAAATATGGCATCACCGATTTTGTGATTTAATTTTCTAACAAAAAATGCCATAATAAACCATGGGTTACATTTAAGATTCTAAAGTTGACGTCACTTGACTCAAATTGAAGTGAAAGTGGTGAAATTGGATAAAAATGGTAGAAACAACACAAAAAGTTACCCAGATCCTCAAAATTTCAATTATATTGGATGACGTGTTCCGAAGTTATTACCTGGGAAAAACGTCGTTGGACACCCTGTATAACGAGTGTAATACAAATTACCTATCGATAATTTTCGGGAAATTTGCCCGAATGTATAGTGCACAAGTGCCTTTTTCAGTTAAAAACCCATGGGTGCAAATTTGCACGAGTTGTATTTTAGAGAGAATTTCATGAATCAAAAATTTAAATTTTTTAAAAAATTGAAGTTTTTTTTACTTAGAGAATGTTACATTTTTTATTTACGACTAATGTATAATGTGCGTATTATATTTGTGATTTTGGCAGTATAATGACATATGTTATTCCTCCAGGGATTAATGACGAGTAGCGGGATTAATGGTCATTATTCCACAAAAGTGTCAGTGTCAAACGTGTAGTGCTTGTGGATTTGTATTGAAAATTATGAGACGGATGAAATTTGTTCATTGAAAATCTCAAATAAATTAATTTGTCGTAAATAAAGTAGAGCATACTACTCGCAATAATGGCTATTATTCCCTTGGAATGTTACTCCCTCGCCTCTAACGCGGCTCAGTTCGTAATAATCCTCGGGAATAATAGCTATCATTATTGACTCGTGGTATAATCTACTATTAAAAAATTGAAGTTTTTCTTACTTATAGGATGTTAAATTTTTAAAAACTACAAGATAACATAAATAATTAAATAAGAATGGCAATACCGACAAGTAAAAACGTAATAATCTCAACTCAAAAGAAAATGCCTCACATCCAAGTGAATGAATTATTCCACTTGTTCTGACATGCTAGAAGGGATGCAACTAACACCTGTTTTTTCTGTGCCATGCGCATTATTTCCAAGAAAATACTTAAACTAGAGACCAAATAAGGACAGAGTATATATTTTAAGTAAAATACTGGATAGTAAGTAGGTACTTAAAATAGTTTGAATACTTCAAGTATTTCTGAAAACTACTCAAGTATATTCAAATTTTAAGTAGTAAGTAGTAATTAAAATAAATTGCCAAATTTAAATACCAGTCCAAGTACTTTTTTGAAATTGTATTGATTGTTTCTTCTTAAGTTCTCTCCTTATAAAAGTACTTAAGTAAAATACTTAAAGTATCAATGGACTCTTTCACTAATTTTTGAAATTGGCATATTTGGATAAAGCAACAAAAAACAGAATTTTCTGTATTTTTACTTTTGAAAAATTCATAGCCCTTCTTGAGAAAACAGAAAAAAAAGAAATACCTCCAAATAAAAACCCAGAATTTATTTCTATGACGTCGCAGCTCGCAATTTGACCGTGTTGCAACTATAGGGCACGTGCGATAAAATGACGTCTTATGAAACTTGTATTTTAATGTACTATTATGTTTAGTTTCATTTATTTATTTTATTTGTCACTCATTTGTAAAACGTCACTTATCAAGTCATAACATAACCAGCGAAAATTGATTTTTACAAGCTACTGGCTCTACTGACTTGTAAAATTGACAGCTAAACTGTAAAAACTTTTTACAAGTCAGTAGAATTATTTATTTTTGAAAAATCGGTTTTATCACAAGAATAATTGCTTGTAGGTACCTTCTGGGAGACTTTTCTGGTGATAAACTGTTGGCTACGACTGAGGCTTCATTAATAATATCTTGTAATAAATTCATTTCTGGAAAAAAATTGCAAAATGGAAATCTGTCAAAAAACCTATTTATAACTAGAAACAACGTCTTAACAACGTATCATTCTCATAGTTATACCAACTACCAAAACTTCTGTGAGAAAAAATCAAGGAAAAACGTATAAATTTCAAATTTTTGTTATGTATTGATTTTTTATTTGTCCCTATATCTTTTACAAATGAGTAACAAATAAATTATTGTACATTATACGCCAGGTAGCAGTTTTTACTGGCTCTTGAAGGTGACAAGCTCGCCTGGCGGCTCGCTAGTCATTTCCTTCAATCGCCAGTAAAAACTGTTTTACCTGGCTAATAATGTAAAATACTATTACGTTGCACTACATTAAGTCACCACCGACAACAGCGCATTCGAACCTTTATGTATCTTTACAGAGCGCAACACAGCCGAGGTGGTCAGCTTCTTGCAACAACAAGCGAAATGAAAAATATTTATGCGACGTCAGCAAATCGGCGCGTTTTTAATTAATTTGAATTTTGCTAATTTAAAATGCCTGTAAAAAACTTATTTAACCTTGTAGAACATTTTTTTTTGGTAAGTAAAATAGTCCCTCCTTTGGGATTTTATACTTAAATTACGTATTTAAATTTTAGTGAAAGAGCCCATTGTACTGAATATTTTACTTAAAGTATATTTTTCTAATCAGTACCTCAGCTCTGCTCAAAGTATGCAAGCCGAACCCAGCTAAAGTTTCCGCTTAGGAGCTACAATAATTTTAATATGACATAGTCATCTTTTGGAATGATTTACTAATCAGTTGACATCCTCAAATTTTTTGGGCCTCTGACGTCACAGTCCTAGTCCGGTTTAAAAATCGAATTTTCAAAGCCCATATTGTAATTTCTTACCTAAATAATTTGTTTGAAAAGTAACATCAAAACCGTCTTCAGTCAATTGCTGCGGATGATAAAAGACTCCAGCGTTGTTAACTAGAGCGAAAAGTTCTTTGAACTCTAGTTTAATAATATCGGCAAATTCTGAAATGCTTTTTATAGAGCACAAGTCGAGGTGTTTGACGTAAATTTTAATAGAACGGTTTTCGACTTTTTCAAGTATTTCGGTTTTGGTTTGCAGGCCTTTTTTAACGTTTCTGCAGGCAAGTATTAAGTTAGCACCTGAAACAGGTTCTGATTATTGCAATTAACTGTAAAATAATAATTATCATTACCTCTTTTAGCTAATTCAATAGCAAGTGCCTTTCCTATTCCAGAATTCGCTCCTGTAATGATAACCAAAAGGCCGTCTAGTCTGGTAGGACAATTGCACACTCCTCCGGCAAAATATTTTCTGCAAGAAGATTTTTTTATTGAGGGGTTTATGTGAAAACAAGGACTTACACCAAACTGTATGTTGCTGTACCAACGACAACGGAACCGGCAATGAATTTCCACAAATTCCGCATTGTTTAGGCAACAAATATGATATTATTGAAACATTCAAATTTACCTAATTTTAATAATTATTGTTATCCATTGAAGAGCCACAGAAAAGAAAATCCAAATTCACCTTAGTCTTTTGTAAATAAATAAATCATCTGACAAATATATGACATTTCCTTTAAAAAAAAAAATTACGTCGGTTGAATGCAACGCAAAAAGTAGACGCTTGGGGCTGGTCTATTGCTTTTCTATCCCTATTCTTCTTATTAAAAGGAAAAAAGATGGAAGATGCTCCGAAAACCCTAACCTATCTTTTCCTGTGTCAAACAAAACTAAAACCGAAACAGATTTTTAAATTTTCTGTTATTTTTATTTAATATTTTTTCTATTCTATACAAAATGGCTTTAATTAATGTAACCAATACCACTAGAAAGGAAAAATCGTTACTACTCAACACTTTAGCCGGTTCAGTGAAAACACTAGAAAATTCCTACACGACGGTGGATTTAAGAAACGAGCACTGCGTAACTGGAAAAATTGTCAAGGTAGATGGATACATGAATTTGGAAATGGAAGATGTCGTATTTTACGATATGAGAGGTAATTAATCTATATACAGGGTTGTCATTATGTATATTTAGGGATAGAACGCGCTTAAGTAAAATGTACTTAAATGTATGGTGTTTTTAGGAATGCCCGATTCAATGGTGGTATATGCAATGTTGTCAAGTTTTACCGTTTCTTATTATCCTATGTAACTATTTTTAAATCAGCGTCCTAACCCAAGGTTCCTAAAGTTGATAGGTTGCCTGGTAATAGGTAACTTGATGACGCATCAGGGTCCTTATTCTTGAAACTGGGGAGCAGCGTTCCCAGGAGAACGAGTGTTCCGTCTTTCTCAATGATATGAAAATGATAATATGAGTAACAAAGACGCAACACTTGTTCTCCCGGGAACGCTGCTCCCCTGTTTCAAGAATAAGTACCCTGGAGACTTGCATTATATTGAAGCATACAGATGACGTCATAAAACTCTTTCAAACAACCTTGGTCCAGAATGGACACTTATTCACCAATTGGCAAGTTTGCCATGTCAATTCAATACGTCCAAGGCCTCCTTGAGGTCTCAAGGAATCCCCAAGGGCCAGGAGTGACCATAAATTTGACCCTTAGAATAGACACTTGTTACCCTTTGACAAATCTATCAATTCTAACCCTCCAAGGTATTCTTGAGGTCCAAAGAGGAAATAAAAACAAAACAAATACTCAGCATTGTTATTGATTCAAATATGTGGGTAATAGGAATAGAGGCAGTAATAGATACTTTCAAATACAATGTTTTATGTGTATATCATTCGCCTAATGCTAGTCACGCAACATTTCTAGAAAATATGGATGAAATTCTACAAAACATGCTGTCCAAGGAAGGGAATTTCATCCTTATTGGAGACTTCAATATAAATATGGCAATTGATACATGTTATTCAAAAGGATTGGAAAACATGATAACAACCTTGGGAGCTTACCAACATGTCAATAAATTCACAAGAGTCACAAGACAAGGGGGCACAATGATCGATTTGATAGTCACTGATACAAGAAATACCACTTATGATATTCATTTAACACCCAAGATAACAGACCATGCTATTTTGACAGTAGACCTACTAAAAAAACCAAAACCCAAACTGCACAAAAAGATGATAAGAGATTTCTCAACATTTAATGAAACAGAGTACCAACTGGAACTAATAAACAAAAATTGGGATAACAACTATATACTTAGATATTAACATAGCTTCAGAGAGATTGGTATTGAATATGAGAGAGACATTGAATGCACACGCACCATTAAAAGAAATAACAATATCTGAATCATGGGGAAACAAAAAATGGCGGACAATGGAAATTGGCAAGGAAATTAAAGAACGAGACAGACAATATAGGAAAGCGATAATAACGCAGAATGAAGAGGACTGGAGAAATTTTAGACAAAAAAGAAACCAAGTAGTTGCATTAATAAAAAAACAAAAACAACAATATTATTTTGAGAGAATAGATGAAGTGAAAAACGATTCAAAAGAAATGTGGAAGACCCTTAAAGAAATAACATGCCAAAAAACAGGATCCCAAAGTAATGATGGAATTATTTTTGATGAAAAACTGGAAACAAATAATAATTTGATAGTAGAAAAATTCAATGCCTTCTTTATTGAAAGCATTGCTTTATTAACCAAAAATTTAAATTGTAATAATACTACTTACAAAGAAGTTGCTTCTGCTATACAACAAGCAAATAGTTATTTAGGAACATTTAAAAAAGTGGAGTTTATAGAACTAAAGAAAATTGTAAAGGTCATGAAAAATAAAACAAGCAGCGTGGATGGCATAAACACAAGGATTTTAAAATCATCATTTGAAGCCATAGGTCATCATTTTTTACAAGTTATAAACACAAGTATAGAGAATAGAAAATTCCCTGATGGATGGAAAACATCCTCTATTATACCAATAGAAAAAAAAAAGAATTCCAAGTTATGTCAGGACTATCGTCCAATAAACATGGTTTCCACCTATGAAAAACTCCTGGAACTTGTTATCAATAGCCAACTTGTAAATTATGTTGAAAACAATAAAATTTTGACATGCTATCAGGCAGGTTTCAGAATAAATAATTCGTGTGAGAGTGCACTACAGACAGTGCTAGCAAAATGGAAGGATTCATTGAAGGACAATTTGGTGATAGGGGCATTATTTCTCGACTTCCGAAGAGCATTTGAGACAATTGATAGACAGCTGTGTTAATCATCAAACTGGAAAAGTACGGCATTCAAAATAAAGCGCTTCAGTGGATAGAAAGTTATTTGTTTGGAAGAAGTCAAAAAACCAGACTTGGCGAGAGTGAGTCTTCTTTGAGAGATACCTTCTGCGGTGTGCCTCAGGGAACAGTGATGGGACCAAATTTATTTGTTATGTATATAAATGATATTGTAAACTCTATAAAGGACTGTCAGATACAACTATTTGCAGATGACACGTTGTTATATTGTGCTGGTAACAATATAAACACTGTGGTGAACACCCTAAATAAAGAAATGGAGAACTTAGCTATATGGTTGAATAAGAACAATCTAAGCCTTAATATTGAAAAGACCAAATTTATGTTGATTAGAACTAGGACGAACACAATAGATGTGACACAACATCCAGGCATGACAGTAAATGGGATTGAAATTGAACGAGTAAAGGAGTTTGAATATCTTGGTGTTATTATAGATGAACATTTAACATTTTCGAAACATTCATCCTATATAACTAGCAAAATTGCTAGTAGGGTAAACGCCTTGGGCAGAATGAGAAAAACATTGAGTGAATGGTCCAAACTTCTAGTATACAAGACTTTAATTATGCCATATTTTAATTACTGCCCAACAATATTGTTTCTCCTAAACAACACTGAAATCAATACAATGCAAAAAAGACAAAATCAAGCTCTTCGTATTATTTTGGACACAAATACATATGCAAACATAAAAACAATGTTGGATACTGTTGGTATTTTAAGTGTTCGGCAGTCAATAAATTATAATACACTGGTATTTATTTACAAAATGGTTCATGGACTGGTGCCTAGTCATTTGCTTGACAACTGCGTTAATGTACAGGATATACATAATCATTTCACAAGATTGACAAACAACTTTTATGTTAGAACTGTGCATAGAACATTCGACCAGAAGAACTTGTTCCATAAAGGACTGATACTATACAATGATCTACCAAACCACGTGAAGAACTGTGAAAGTCTAAATTCATTTAAAAGGGACTGCTTTAGATATGTGAAAGAGAATATTACACTATAATAAAAATTTTGTACTATAACTCTAAATATTATACATGTTAGCTTCAAGCTATTAATAAATATTATTATTATTATTAAGGATATTTCAAGGATCAACTATAAATTTTGCCCTAAAATCCCTAAATAAATGCGAAAACCTCCATTTGATTCGGTTTTTGAAATATGGCAACACATCATTTAAAAGTGAAACACTAGAACATATTTCTAACAAATCGAGAGCCAGTAATGATCAAATTTTGAACTATTATCGGCTCTTGATATTTTTTCTAGATATCTTCAAGAGCCGGTAATAGTTCAAAATTTGATTATTACTGGCTTTTGATGTGTTAGAAATACAATTTTCTAAATTTCCAAATTTTTCAATAAACCGTATTCACAATTTATAGGGGCCCCGGTAAGAAACATTTCTCTAAAGCCTGTTCAAAAATACAAGACCGTTTTCAATAAAATAGCTAAAGTCTGTTTTTTTTTTTGAAGATAATTCCCCAAGTCAAAAATTTAGTAACTATGTTGGCAACACAAGCCTTTTCTACATAAAAAATTTGGAGGTATTGACAATTTGACATTGTATTGCCAACAGAATGTCATTTTGACTTTTATCTTTAAAAAAAAAAACAGATTTTATGTTGCCGTATTTCAAAAACCAAATCAAATAGAGGTTTTGGCATTTAGGGGTTTAGTAATGTTAGAACGCCAATAAAAATAAAGAGGGGCTTTCATTTAAAAAAAAAAATTAAGTTCCATACGGTATCTTTAAAAGGACAAACTTGGCAACATTGCAAATACCATTACTGAATGGGGCATTCCCAAAAACCCTCCAAATAAGAAATAACCCTGTACAACAGTGATGCCAGGTCTGGCGAAATTTCACCAGATCTGGTGATTTTATGAAAAATCAGGTGATTGGTGAAAAACTTTTTGAAAAATGGCAATTCGATCAAAATTTTTATTTTTCATATTTTCGAAATTTTCACTTTTCCAATTCATTCAGCAGGTTTAAATTAATCGAAAAAAATTCTAACATCACTTTCAAAATGGCGATTTCAAAAAGCTAAAAAATCTCAATTTTTGTTATGGAAATTTTTTCAAATGTTGACAAGGTTAAGAATAATGGCCAATATCTTGAAAAAAATTGGAACTAATCAACACAAATTATATATGGTTGGAAAGAGCATTAAATTCTCTATAAATCAGTGCTAGATTGAGTTTGATAACGCAAATACTTTTAGAGCAATTGAGCCTCAAAGTTGGGATTTAGTTGAAATTTAGTCAAAAACTTCAAACTCGATTTTCTCACAAACCGTAAATGCCAACGACTTCAACTGAGTACCATTTTGAAGCCCTTATTAGGAGCTACAATTTCAACGGGTTTCGAGAAAATTAAATTTGAAAATTTTGAAATAAAAATCCCAAATCCCATTGAAAAAAAATTCAAAAACTCAAAATGTTCTACATAGAATTCTACTTTCATGACGTCAGGTTGCCTAGCAACCGTGATCATCACCTGTAGTATATGCGATAAATAGGTCGCGGGTGACGTCATGAAAATAGAATTCTTCTTGTCATGATCCCGGCCCAGGATTACTTCAAAGTTCATTTACTTTTTGATAAGTAGTAATCTTATCGCTTGTCATAAATGATATTTGACATTTTGCCCAACAGTGTTGCCGATGTTTATATAATTACTGTTATGGAAAATTTGAATTTTGCTAGGCCTACTTGGGCTTTTTTTGTATAAATTCGAGCCTCAATGATTGACAAAATATTTGTTATAAGTTGTAGTTGGCAACACTGTTTGACAAGGGACAGAGTAGGCTTTGCAAAATATTAAAATTTAAATATGGCGCCCTGTAATACCGACATTGCAATACATACATGTTTCCAAAGCCTACTTGGTTTGATATAAGCCTGTAGGCGAGAATTTTCCTGAAAAATCAACTCTCAAGATTTCTGGTGATTTTTTTTTTTAAATATGGTGATTTTTCATTCCAATTTCTGGTGAATTTAATTTTTTTGACCTGGCAACAGTGCTGTACAACAAAATAAATTAATGACTTTCTTAGGAGCTCAAAAATGTCTTGCAACTTTTTACGTTTGCGGTAGAAATATAAGGCAAGTGCACATCCCCAAGAGAATCGACCCGGTGGAAATGTTCAAAAACCAATTGACAAACTTGACCAGAAGAAAAGAGAAAACAAAAAAAGTATTCAAGACTAGCAGAGCTGAAAAGAAAAATCTACAAACCATCAGAGAAGCCTACAAATAAAGTCTATGGCGAAAACAATTTTTTTATATAAAATGTATTTAATTTTACATTATTGAGTATCTACTTATATAAGTTATACATATAAAATAAGGACACACTCATTTGTTGCTCAGTTTTAAAATAAAAGTGGGTATATAAAGTTAAAGGACACTGGGACAAATTAATTAAAATATTGCTTATGATAAAATAATTTCAATTGCACATAAAACTTAATGTATATAAAGTGTGATGTTTAAATAAATAATTATGGTCATGTTAAAGCTACTTTTTTTTTGTACACAATAATACTTAAATTAAACCTAAAAAGCCGTTATAAAAAAAAAACATTACCTCAATTTACATCAAATTATGAGGCAAATTCTGACCTAAATTAGGTACCACGGTAACTCCAGTTATATTCATTTGAGGCTGAGGAGGAAACGTGTACCTTTGCCACTGGTCATTTGCCCCATAAGTCTCAACTGTCTTGTGATTTTCCATGTGCCTCATCAAGTAAACTTTCCTATGGATTTTATAAGGACAATAAGTGCACTGAAACATTTTATCTGGATTCACATTATGAGTCTTCCTATGTTTATTCAAATGCCTTTTCGCCACAGTTGTGTAATTACAATCAGGACAAGACAACAAAGGAACATCAGGCGAATCCTTTAAGTGCCTCAACCTGTGCTGAACCATGTTCGATTTTCTCTTGGTTTCAAACGTGCAAAAATCGCACTGCAACATTATCACTTCTTCTTTGCTCTTGTGCACCATTAAGTGGGACTTTAGTTGGGCGTTGGTGAACGTTTGGTATTCACATGATGGGCACTTGAAAATTTGGGCTTTCGATGGGTCCACGTGCCGTTTCATGTGCCAGGCTAAGTTTCGTTTTAGGCGCGATTGATAGGAACAATGAGGGCAGGGGAACATTGTTACTTCGTCGGCACTTTTGTGATTTATACAATGATTTTGGAAATTGACCTGGAATAATTGATAAGAGTTAATAGTTTATCTCATTGACTAAATTTACACAGCAAACTTGGTATTAGAAAATATCCATATATAAATTAATATTAGAATCAACATGAAGGAAGAGTTTGCATTTGGATAAAAACTGAAATCATTGGGCAAAAAATTTGAGCGAACATAAACCACAAATACAGGGCTGCCATAGACATTAACCTATTTGGGTAAATATCAAAATAGCAGTTAACTCTGGTCTTTATATACAGGCCTCATCATACCACATTAGAACAGAACAGGAGGCTTCTGGAAACTCACAAAGAAAAAAATTGAGGAAAACATAGACGCTGTTATCTGGGGAGACTTTAACTTCCCTGTATTTGTCTGTGACAAGTTTTACACTGAGAGAAAACAGTCTTCAGTGCTTACAAGGAATGGAATTGTAAAAATTTCGGGGCGTCGAATTATCTTTATTGGACTTACTACTGGTAACTGACAACAAAATGATCTTTTTATTTTATCCCTTTCAAAGGACTAGATTTCGGCTTTAAATCTGAGAATAATTAAGTGTATGGAGTTTGGGGTATGTTGATTGACCATTAGGATACAAAGTCTCGACAAAAAAAAAATTGAAATTTCATTGTTTTAGTATGATTTAGATTTTGGAAAATTTTGAAAGGTCATAACTTTTTTTCTATTCTAGATAGAAAGCTGAAACTTTCACTGAATTTTATCCCTTTCAAAGGACTACAATCCCTGACAATTTCGGCTCATTTGCACTTATAGTTCCTGAGATAAAATCGTGTTAAGCAATTTGGGGTTATTTATCAATTTTTCAATTTTTCTGAGTGCCTTTTTTCATAGATTTCGGCTTCAAATTTGAGAATAATTTAGTGAATGGAGTTTACGGTATGTTAATTGACCATTAGATACAAAACCTCGATAAAAAAAAAAATTGAAATTTCATCGTTTTAGTAAGAAGGTCCTCCCTTATGATTTAGATTTTCTAAAACTTTGATAGTTCATAATTTTTTTTCTATTATAGATAGAAAGCTGAAACTTTCACTGAATTTTATCCCTTTCAAAGAACTACAATCCCTGAAAATTTCAGCTCATTTGCACTTATAGTTCCTGAGATAAAATCGTGTTAAGCAATTTGGGGTGATTTATCAATTTTTCAATTTTTCTGAGTGCCTTTTTTCATAGATTTCGGCTTCAAATTTGAGAATAATTTAGTGAATGGAGTTTAGGGTATGTTAATTGACCATTAGGATACAAAACCTTGATAAAAAAAAAATTGAAATTTCATCATTTTAGTAAGAAGGTACCTCCCTTATGATTTAGATTTTGGAAAACTTTGAAAGGTCATAACTTTTTTTCTATTATAGATAGAAAGCTGAAACTTTCACTGAATGTTATCCCTTTCAAAGGACTACAATCCCTGAAAATTTCAGCTCATTTGCACTTATAGTTCCTGAGATAAAATCGTGTTAAGCAATTTGGGGTGATTTATCAATTTTCCAATCTTTCTGAGTGCCTTTTTTCATAGATTTCGGCTTCAAATTTGAGAATAATTTAGTGAATGGAGTTTACGGTATGTTAATTGACCATTAGATACAAAACCTCGATAAAAAAAAAAATTGAAATTTCATCGTTTTAGTAAGAAGGTACCTCCCTTATGATTTAGATTTTGGAAAACTTTGAAAGGTCATAACTTTTTTTCTATTATAGATGGAAAGCTGAAACTTTCACTAAATTTTATCCCTTTCAAAGGACTACAATCCCTGAAAATTTCAGCTCATTTGCACTTATAGTTCCTGAGATAAAATCGTGTTAAGTAATTTGGGGTGATTTATCAATTTTTCAATTTTTCTGAGTGCCTTTTTTCATAGATTTCGGCTTCAAATTTGAGAAAAATTCAGTGTATGGAGTTTGGGGTATGTTGATTGACCATTAGGATACAAAATCTCTCATACGAAGAAAGACTACTGAGATATAACATAACAATCCCAAAAGCCAGACAAGAGAGAGGGAATTGATTGAGACATACAAAATCTTAAATCATAATTATTCTCCTGATTTGCAACTGGACATTTTCAGTCTAAATAGTAACCAGCTAGAAGCTGAATAAGGTAAGATGTTCGAAATTGATCACAAAGCATTTTCTGAAAAATAGGATTGTCTATCAGTGGAACGCCCTTCAGGAAAGCACACTTATTAAAGAACGCATTCAAAAACAGACTTGATTGGGACCTGGAGAGAACTAGACTGAATTTTGTGCATTACATATGACTCATAACAGTGAAAATAGGGATATAAAAATACAGCAGTAGTCTCATCGGCGTTGCCGCTTACTGCTACTCAAACCTATAATAATAATAATAATTACCTTGCTGTGTGTTTGAAAAGGACAATCCGGACATTTAAATTCCGGATTGTGCGTTTTCTTATGCATCTTTAGTGACCGGTCGTTTTTGCTTTGGAAACCGCAAACGTCGCACAAATAAATTCGATTTTTCGGATTCACTTGATGCGTTCTTCTGTGTTTTACCAAGGCGTAGGCCGATTCCAATTCTTCGTCGCAAACATTGCAAGTGTAGGTTTTGTGTTTTATCGAGTGCGTTTTCAGGCTGTGCTTGAAGACCGTCTTGAAATCGCACTGGTTGCATTTGTAGAATTGTCTAGGAATAATTAATTTTTACACCTAATTTGTGATATTAATATTCAATATTTACCTTAAATGATTAAGATGCATTTTTTTCTTGTGCTCCTCCAAATTCCCTTCAGTTTTAGCAATAAAGTCGCACAAATCGCAGAAATGAAAAATGATCCTCCTGGGATTCTGACTCTGGTGCTTCCTCAAATGGTGCACGTAATTGCTTTTAATTGAGGTTTGGAATGTACAATTTCTAAATTTGCAATCAAAATCCTTCACCTTTTTCTCCGATTTGATTTTCAATTTTGCTTCGGGCTTTTCCATTTTTATGTGGGACCTTTTCAAATGTAAAACAAGATAGTGTTTGCTTTTACTTGAAAAATCGCAATTATCACATTTGAAAAGGCCAAGATTTTCTTGTTTTACCTGAGAATAAATAAATTAATAAATCATACAAACAAACGATGATTAACTTACTTCAGTTTTTATAATTTTTTCGTTTTTAATTTTTGAATGCTCTCTTTCAATATGCCTCTTCAAACAAGGTTCCCAATTAGTTTGATACTTGCAAAAATTACATTTGTGTAAATTTGCATCAATTTCGCCTACAGTATGTTTAATTTTCTTATGAATATCCAATTGTTCTTCAGAGCTGCTCTCAAAGGAACATTCTTCGCATTTTATTGTCTTAGTACTTTTAGTTGTCTTTGATTTGTGAGCTTGTAAATGTTGCAAATAAATGCGTTTGTATAAAGTTTCAAATTTACATTTGGTACATTTGAAATATTTGATTTTTTTATGGCTCAATCGGTGTCTTTCTAGAAACTTTTTATGTCCTGTTTCAAAATTACACTGAAAACATTGGTATTTTTCAAGTGGTTCTTGTTTTATCTCTATTTTCATTGTATGGACTTGCATGTGACGTTTTAAAAATGCTTTTAGATTTGTTTCATAGTCACAATTATTACATCTAAAAGCAGAATTTAGTTTTTTGTTTTTGAGGAGTAATAACAATATTTACCTAAAAACTTCTTTAACAGGTTGAGGTTCATTTGCAACCGGATTCGAGTCCATTGTGTCGTGGTCTTCAATGTGACTTTTCATTTCTTGTTCTTGATTCGATTCAAAATCACATTTCAAACATCTTTAAAACAAAAATTCAATCTTTTAGATTTTGATATTTTTTCAAAAAACTACTCAAGGGAAAATTATAAAACTTTCACTATAAAAAGGAGGAAATTAGAATTATACTAAAATTTTAAAGTTTTTCAGTGAAAAACAACACAATGGAAAATTTATGAAAATTACGAAAATTGAAAATTTTCCTAAAATGACATTGAAACAGTTTTTGCCTCACAGCCCTGATAATTTAAATCAGATTTCAGTGTAATTAGGCTCTAATTAAAGCCAATTAAATTCTCTACAAACCTGTTAACTAAGATTCCAATTTAAATTCAATTAAGGGGTGGCAAACCTCTTGAAATATGTACACAGATTTTAAATCTAAAATCGATTTTGAAGGATTTTAAAGATTTTGAAAATCTTCACACAATTTTACAGGATTTTAGATGATTTTAAATTTTAGGTGATTTTGATGGGTTTTATAGGTATTCTCAAAGATTTTTAGCTTGATTTTTAGTAACTTAAATAGATTTTTGTGGATTTTGTTAAAATTTTTAACAATTCTAAAGATTTTTAGGTAATTTTAAGTGGATCTTATGGGATTTCATGGGATTTCTACCAACTTGTACACAAATTTTGACAAGGTAACTGCCCCTCGCAAAATCTAGATTAAGCAAAAATGCAATCTCTTACATTTTAATATTTTTCCGGAAAACTACTGAAGGGAAAATTATGAAACTTTTAGGATAAAAAGAGCTCATTATGCTAAAATTTCAATTTTTTCCAGTAAAAAACAACACACCATGGAAATTATTGAAAATCAACTAAATTAAGCAAAAATGCAATCTCTTACATTTCAATATTTTTCTGGAAAACTTGAGGGGTGTCTCACGCTCTTAAATTTTGAACACTTATTTCCTTTTTGGAAATGTTTTCCAGATATTGCCCATAATTTCCAAAATTTCCTGAATATTCAGAATTTTTTCAAGTACATATTTCCTATAATCTCTAAAATTTCCTGAAAAATTTATGTAATTTCCTGAATAATTTCCTAAATTTCCCGAATATTTACTGATTTCCTATGAAAAATCTGACATTTCTAAAAAAAATTAATAATTTTCAAAATTTTTCAGAGATTTTTCATTTCTTTCCAAAATTTCTGAACATCTCCGCAATATTTACTGTAGTTTTCTATGTAGAAATGAACATTTTTTTGCTGCAATATGTATACTTAGTCTGGCTAGCCAAACGGCAAATTGCACATGCATGTTGTGCAAACAATTCCTCAAAGAGGAATTTTCTACGCAAAATTTTCCAAAATTCCTCCAAATTCCTCTAAGTTCCCTGCAAATTCCCACAAATCCCTGAACATCCTCATAATTGCTTGTGATAAGTTCATTTTTTTTAAATCTTTATTTTACATAGGCTCTGTTTATTCATCTTCAGATAAACTTGCTGGTGACTATCTATAAGATAAGTTTACCCATTTCATAATCTTATCGGTCAAGGAATAACGGGCCAACCAATGGGATTACAAATTGCGTTTTATCCGTCAGATTGGATTACCTGACAGTTTATCAGAAAGTGAATAAACCTGCCTTTAGTGTTAAAACACAAGAGCAGTTTATCAAGTAGGATCAAATGCAAAATTAGGTTAGTTTACTTTAGAGCTAAAACTTATGATTAGTTTCCGGTAATCCAGAATGCAGGGATTTAAATCGAGATTTAAACTGAGGTTTAAACTAACCTAAACCTGCATTTGAGATTTCAAACAACTTAGGTATGTATATTGTTTCACAATATTGTAGGTATATTTTTTTTTTAATTATAAATGGACCCGAGAATAGACCTTTTCCTGAAAGTTGAATAGGTTTACAGGACCACAAACAATAAATTGAATCTGTACCTCAGCATAGGCTAAGTAGGCCATACGAATGTCTCTAATTCCCTTCTCAATAATTTGAAAATAAGTAAACCATTTTTTTAACGTTCAGCCTTTTTTCTATACCGGGTGTCCCACCGAAAACTGTCAATGGCCTATATTTTGAAAACGGTAATCGATTAAAAAAAAAATGAAAAACCCGTTTGGAGAGTTGAAAGGGGGAACCAAAACAAGGTACTTTTCAGGTCTCCCTGAATCACCCCTCCGGCCGTAGCTACCCTAACCTCAAAATCTTAAATGGCACTATGGGTCATGTGATACCTTGTTTGAAAGATTCAAGGTATCACATGACCCATAGTGCCATTTAAGATTTTGAGGTTAGGGTAGCTACGGCCCAAGGGGTGATTCAGGGAGACCTGAAAAGTACCTTGTTTTGGTTCCCCCTTCCAACCCTCCAAACGGGTTTTTAATTTTTTTTTTTCATCTATTACCATTTTCGAGATATAGGCCATTGACAGTTTTCAGTGGGACACCCGGTATATTATGATGCTAGGATACACTATATTTGGATTCAAATACATATAAACTTAAAACTTATATCAACTTCAAGTAGCTTGAAGTTCCTTTGCACTCAGGGTCATTTTTAAGGAGATTTTGTACCTCTTCTGGAAAAGTTCATCTTATCTTCTGGAACAATATCAGAACTAACTAATAAATGTTCACTTTTATTATGTTTTCCTCAGTGTTATCCAATTCCCATATTAAAATGATCTACTGAAATTATGTAATCTCCATTCTCTAATGACCAATAATTCTTTTCTCAGTAGGCGATTTTCTAATTTGGCCCTGTCCAACGCAAAACTAGATTTTTTTAAAAATTTCCAATTATAAGTGTTTCTTATAATAAAAATGTGAACCTCAGTGACGTCATGACCCTACAATTTCCTTTAAATTCCCCATAAATTCCAACAAATTCACTGAAAATTTCTCCAAATTCCCCATAAATTTCTTCAAATTCCCCATACCTCAATTTCCCACATTTTTGGCCAAGAATTCCTAGGTGGTTTGCCCCTTAGAAAGTACAGTCTCACACAATTCAAAATTTTCTTGAAAAACTAATTGAGGGACTGATTGAAACTTTTTGTATGTGAAGAGGAAGGTTAGGAGGTCATTTTCCCAAAATTTTTCCATGGGAAAATAACATGAAAAATCTTGGAAATCATCTTAGAAAAAGTGAATTAATTAAAAATACAATTTCACACATTTCAAAGTTTTCCTGGAAAACTAATTAAGTAAGGAAAAATGTTGAAACTTTTTGCATGTGAAGAGGAAGGTTAGGAGCTCATTTTCCCATAATTTCAAATTTTTCCAGTGGAAAATAACAACATGAAGATTCTTGGAAATCAGCCTACAAAAACTGAATTATTTGAAAAGAGAGTCTTACACATTTCAAAGTTTTCCTGGAAAACTAGTGAAGGGAAAAATTTGAAACTTTTTGCATGCAGAGACCAAAATTAGAAGCTCATTTTCCCAAAATTTCACATCTTTCCATTGGAAAATAACAATATGGCGCATTTTGAAAAACAGCCTACAAAAACTGAATTAATTGGAAGACAGTCTCAAACAATTCAAAAATTTCTTGGAAAACTAATGAAGGTAAAAATTTGAAACTTCTTGCATGTTAAGAGGAAGGTTAGGAGCTCATTTTTCTCATCATCATCTCAAAATATCAAATTTTTCCAGTGGAAAATGACAACATGATGAATCTTCAAATCAAATCAAATCAAATCAAGTTTATTCATAAGTTACACAAAATATAGTGTTTTAACACGTCAATAGTACAATAGATAAAAAAATACTTACATAACACTCAATTTATACAAAATAAGAAAAGCATATACTAAATAAAATACATGAAACACATAAAGTACATTACATTTAAAATATTTCTGTGTCCAGGAATTCCTCCATACTGTAATAGGCCCCCTCTATGAGGTGCTGTTTCACGTAGGCACCAAAAGATGTTTGAGACACACTCTTAACATGATTTGGCAGTTTGTTGTAAAATACTGGATAATAATGATTGATTGATACACGAGATCGTTCCAATCTGTGAAAATCGTTAAGTAATCATGATAAGAGCTATTGTTATTATAATATTCAATGTTTTTCCTACAGTAAAGAACACATTCATAGATATATCGGCTTGGTATTGTCAAGATTTTTAACTGAATAAACTTTTCCCTCAGTTTATCTCTATATCTGAGCCCCGTCACAATGCGCACAGCCCTTCTCTGCAGTGCAAATATACGTTTGGCATGTGCTGAATGCCCCCATGTCAGGATACTGTAGACACCGACGGACTGGAACAATGCATGAAATGTCTGCTTTAATGCGCCTTCCGGAAGCACATGAGACAAGTTTTTCAGCAGAAAAATACTTTTAGTCAGTCGTTCTGCTGTGTGGTTCACATGAATTTCGAATTTTAGTGTAGGATCAAAATACACTCCAAGAAATTTCACTTCCTCGACATTTCCATTTATTTCTCTCAGTCCATACGCCATATTCACAGTTTTTGTTTCATTTAAAGTTAGTCTATTGGAAACGAACCATTTCTTTAGATCATTCATCTTTGCATTCATGCTTACTCTCAATTCTTCCAGATTTACCCCTTTCTGAATCACTGACGTATCATCAGCAAACAGTAAAAACTTTGTATCTGGTGATGCGTTACTTATATCATTTATATATATTATGAGAAAAAGTATTGGCCCCAAAATTGAACCCTGGGGCATACCATGTCTGACTTCTTCCTAGTTTTTAGAAGTAGCTCCATTGTAGGTAGTTTTCTGCTGCCTGCCCTCCAGGTAACTTTTCATCAAAGTCACACTTTCACCATCTAGATTACAAAGAGAAAGCTTCCGAATAAGCGCCTCATGTGAAACACAGTCGAAAGCCCTCTTGGAAATCAGCCTACAAAAACTGAATTTAAATTGAAAGACAGTCTCACACAATTCAAAGTTTTCCTGGAAAACTAATGAAGGGAAAAAATTGAAACTCTTTGCATGTAAAGAGGAAGGTTAAAGGTTCGTTTCCCCAAAATTTAAAATATTTTCCAGTGAAAAATAACAACATGAAGA